TCGCTGCTATAGATTGCATTGTTGTTAGCCACTTGAATCCGGTCTAAGATGAAAGACCTGGGAGGATATCTAGTAATTGGCATTTTAATTCCAGTATCACTACAACATGGAGGCGAAGAGTGGATGACCCGAAGGAAAATTAGAGAGACTTACTAAGCAGAAAAATATAATGAACCTTTTTTTCTCGTTCCTTACGAGGTGGAGGGCCAAGGCACGCCCAAATGTATTTTAACCGGCCTTCAGAACAAGAAACAGGTAAGACATAATTTAATAAAGAATCTGCAGGCCTGTCTACCAAACAAGGCGGTTTTACCAAAAACTCAGTAAACCTACCAACGTTTCAGTTCACTCATTGCCCACTGCTTACGAAGGAGTAAGAAGATCTGATCAAATGGGGCAACTGAAAGAAGAACTCAGAAACCTCAAAGTACAAGAGAAGAAACCTAGCCAAGCTAGTTTTAAAGGGTCCATGAAGCTGCAAGGCATCACCCCCACTAACCCTTTTGCGTGTGGGGAAAGAGAGAAATGGGCAATCAGTCCAGCAGAAAGAACCTATACTGAATCTCGGGATGCCAATCCTTTTGGTTTTTCCGAGAGGCTGTCAAGGCCAATTAACATCAAGCCTTTGGAAGCAAGGCCCCCACAAATTCCTTAACCAAGGAAAATTTACAAAGCAGATGAATTGTACTGTGAATACCATTCAGGCATATGGGCATTAAGACTGAACCGTGTTGCTTGGACGCTTAGGGAACCGCATTTACAAGATCTGGTAGACAATAGGTGATCGATTCATCCGAGAAAGTAACCAAACATTAGTACTAACCCTTACCAAATCATGGAGGTAATGCTATTATAGATGACCAGGAGGCTGATCATCCTTCGAAAAACTGGTTCCTAGAGACATGAATAAAAATGAAGCGTAATACTTACCTGACAGGGCGGTCCACTTGATTAATGCGGACATAAAGGCTCAACCACCCTATTGTACAAGCTGTCCATCTTATTAACACTCAACCAACTACAATCCACAACAAGCCCTACCAGAGGGCAGAGGAGCCAAAAGAGGACCCGGTACTCTTACAATTGAAAAAGACACAAGCTAGGGTATCAATCTGGGAATTATTGGCAGCATCCTTTCCTCATCGCCAAGCACTTTGCAAGGCTTTGAGCCAATTACAGACGTCAGCGGAGGTTAGCCCTGAAGTACTAGTCTCCACCCTCACCCAGTCATCCAAAGTTCAAAGCATCGGGTTTTCTGATGAGGACCTGCCTAAAGAGGGAGGCAGTCATAATAATGCTCTGTATGTCACGGTCCAGACCAGAGACAAAACGGTACCCATGGTTCTCATTGACAATGGGTCAGCTCTGAATGTCTGTCCACTAAGGGTAGCCAGCTGCTTAGGGTTGGAGGAAACAGACTTCACTCCATCGGAAACAGACTTCACTCCATCAGATCAAATAGTGAAAGCATACGACAGTACCCGGAGGGAAGTATTGGGGGTTGCCACACTGAAATTAATAGTTGGGCCAACTGTGATGGAAGTTCCGTTTCAGGTAATTGATGTACCAACCAGCTTTAATCTGCTTCTAGGTAGACCATGGATACACCACACCACCACACCAAGGATACACCACACCAAGGCAATACCCTCGTCCTTGCACCAAAAGGTCAAGTTTCCCTATGAAGATAAAGTTGTCACCATCCAAGGGGATGACTACCATCAGCTGAAAAAGCCAAAGGGCCAGCCTCTCTTTGAGGTTAGTCCTGAAACTGCCCACCTACCTCTCTCAGGATTTCAGTATGACACCGTGCAATGCATAGAGGGAAATCCTGCCAATTCTCGAATTCTTTTTGATTTCGGGACAGTACAGATAACCTGCATAGTGCCTCTGATGCTGAAGATGTCCTACCTGCCAGGAATGATTATGGCAAGGTCAGGTAAAACATACCCCGCACTACAGGCCTGGGAGTGTCCGGTAAATGAAGGAACTTATGGACTGGGTTATGAGCCTACCGAGGAAGACCGCGCTGAAAGGATAAGGCGAAAGAAGAAAGGAGGTATACAAATGCGGCCATATCGTCTGACTTTGAATGGCTATTTCTGTAAACCGGGAGAAACAATTCCTTATTGTGGCTTCCCGGAGCCGTTCCCCTGCCCGACTGCTAAGAAGATGCTGCCTGGGTTAGAAGTATTTGCCGATGTCTGGGGCAACGAGCCCGAAACCATCACTAAACTGGAAATCGAAGACTTCATGCAGCCTAGTCTCTTTGATGAGGTTGCAGTCATCACAGGAATTGACGGGAATCAAGATCTGCTCAGCCTGATCAAGCCGAACAGAGGGCCTCTTACCAATTGGTACATCGAGGAGGAGCGCACTGCTGATAAACCCCTCAACTGGTACACCGAGGAGGAGCGCGCTGCTGATAAACCCCCCCAGTCAAACCTAGTACCAAAATCTATAATCAAGTCCTGTACTGAATCTGAGGAGTCTGACCCCGAGTCTGAAACTGAGTCAGAGTCCAGTTCCAATTCTGAGTCGTCTGTGTCGGATCTAGAAGATCCAGATTTCAAACTTGATGTAATTTTTGAAGACGATTCCGTCATAATCAATAAAGGCTTGCAAATTATTGACTACCCGTATGTCTATCTTTCCAAGCATTTCCAAGCGAAAATGAAAAGGAAATAAACGAAATAAAAAATGAAAAAGAAAAAATAATAATTGGCAAAGAAGAAAATGAACATACATACATTGCATATGGCTGCGTGAACAGGGAACAGGTCAGTGAATGTTTGAAGAAATTTGCTGATTGCTTCATGTGGAAGGCAAGTGACATCACGGGAATTGACCCACATCACGGGAATTGACCCAGCAATAGTGGTGCACAAGATTCCAGTGTATCCGGAAGCCAAGCCGGTGAAACAAAAACTCAGAAGACTAAAGACGGAATGGTCCTTAAAAATCAAGGAAGAGGTTGCCAAGCAGCTAGAGAATAAGTTCATAGAACCCATCGCCTACCCGACTTGGTTAGCAAACATAGTGCCGGTTCCTAAGAAGGATGGAAAGCTGCGAATGTGTGTGGATTACAGGGATTTGAATAAAGCTTGTCCGAAGGATGATTTTCCCCTGCCACATATTGACTTACTGGTGGATCGAATGGCTGGAGTTCGTGACCGAATGGCTGACACGAGACGTCTCTTCTTTTGACCGATAAAATTCTTGCTGTCGGTTATAATCAAATAATTGATGCCAATTTGCCAGACAAAGAGAAGACGGCCATTCATCACGGAATGGGGAAATCACAGAATGGGGAACCTACTGCTATAGGTTCATGCCCTTCGGGCTCAAAAATGCCGGGGCAACCTATCAAAGAATGGCAACAACCATCTTTCACGACATTATTCACGGAGAGGTGGAAGTGTATGTGCATGATATGGTGGTTAAGTCGAAAACAACCGAAGAACATACGACTGCACTTGAGAAGTTCTTCCTTAGACTTCGAAAGTATAATTTGAAGCTCAACCTGGCAAAATGTCTGTTTGGAGCCACATCCGGAGTATTTCTGGGGCACATGGTTAGTCGGAAGGGCATAGAGATTGATCCTTCGAAAGCTAGAGCTATTCTGGAAATGCCAGCACCAAGGACCGAAAAAGAAGTCCGACAAGGACAGAAAAAGAAGTCCGAGGCTTCTTGGGAAGGTTACAGTACATTAGTCGTTTCATCAATCAGTTGGCCGATACCTGTGGCCCAATTTTCAAGCTACTTAGGAAAGGAGTGGCAGTCAAATGGAATGAGGATTGTCAGGCGGCCTTTGACCAAGTCAAACAATACCTGCTATCCCCGCCAGTCTTACAACCACCAAGGCTAGGAAAGCCTTTGCTACTGTACTTGTCGGTAACAGAAGAAGCAATGGGGGCCATATTAGCTCAACAAGCAGAAGATACAAGGATAGAAAACGCCGTGTATTACCTCAGTAAGAGGATGCTGGAATATGAGTTGAAATACAACAAGATAGAAAAGTTGTGCCTGGCTCTAGTCTGGGCCTGTACCAAGCTGCAACACTACCTCTCGTCTTGGGCCTGTACAAAGCTGCAACACTACCTTTCGTCTTACACAACCTATGTCATTTCTGAATCGAACCCCTTGAAATTCCTTATGGAGGCCGGTTCTTGACTGTAAGATGGCTAAGTGGGTATCAGTGCTTGCAGCTTATGATTTAAAATTTGTACAACGGAAGGAGTGCTCGCAGCCTATGACCTGAAATTTGTACAACGTAAGGCAGTAAAAGGCGGAGCTTTGGCTGACCAGTTAGCCGAATTACCGGTCGAAGATCAAATGCCGAAGGTAGAATTCCCCGACGAAAACCTGTTGCACCTGGAAAATCAGGTCTGGGAGATGTACTTCGATGGAGCCTCGAATTACCATGGAAATGGGATTGGAGTTGTATTCAAAACTCCTTGTGGAGAATACGTCCCAATTGCAGTTAAACTAGACTTTGACTGTACCAATAATGAGGCCGAATACGAAGCCTGTATCAAGGGATAGGAAGCCGCCCTCAGAGCAGCCCTAGAAAAGGAAATAAAAGTCCTCAAGGTCTTCGGGGGGATTCCAATTTAATAGTCTCTCAAGCTCTAAGGAAGTGGAAAATCAAGGAAGAGTGTTTGGTTCCTTACCTACAATGCTTGGACGAGTTGGCTCAGTAATTTGAGGATTTATCCTTCCACTACTTGCCGCGAGCCAAAAATCAGTTTGCTGATGCTCTGGTACCTTGGCCTCCATGGTTAATATAGGGGGAGACCAAGTCATTCGACCTCTGACAATTCGGCTACAGAAATAGCCAGCACATATCATGAATTTGGTGGATGACAAGCCCTGGTATTGGGATGTACATAATTATCTTCAGAATAAAGCCTACCCGGAGGGATCCACCAAGACTGGTGAAGCCTATCCGGAGAGGGATCACTAAAACTGATAACGGACATGACTGATCAACGGACATTGAGACAGTTAGCATCCGGATATTTCCTTACCGGGGGAGTTCTGTATAAGAGAAGTTGGAATGGCCTACACCTAAGGTGCGTCGATGAGGGAGAAGCTCAAACCATCATGGATTCCTTATATAATGGGGAGTCCGGTCCACACATGCACGGGGTAGCCTTGGCTCGGAAAATCATGAACCTAGGTTATTACTGGACAACCATGAATGCAGATTGTGTGAGGCACACGCAGAAGTGCCATGAGTGTCAAATTTTCGCTAAGCTGCAAAGACAGCCTCCGGTCAATTTGAATCTTCCCATATAGCCTCACCATGGCCTTTTCGCATAATCTGGGGGGGGGGGGGGGGAGGCACATAGGGAGCGGGGGGAGGAATGGGCATAGACATAATTGGAAAATTCCATCCGGAAGGCCTTCTTAATGCGCCACCAATTATCTGGTTGCCTGATTTTGATTATTTCATAAAGTGGATCGTTGGGCAAGCCCTTCCTATTCGGTTTTTGAATGCAAGAAGGCAGCACAGTTCCCTTGTACCCCAATCCTTTGTCGTACTGGAACACCATCGAGGATGATTATCACTGATAATGAGATCTCATTTTCAAAAACGTGTTTTTCAGACCTGCTTGTAAGCCGAAAGAAGATTTTCCCAGCATCATAAGTCTCTCCTACCGGTCCACAGGAACGAACGGCGGGCAGTTGGACCTGCGGCAAACACGGCCCATAAATGGTCATTTGCAAGGAAGACAGTTTCAAAAGCATAGATCTTGGCACGAACAGTTACACAAATGCCTTTATGATTATAGGACTCAATCAAGAACGCTACTGGGCGACCCCGTTATTTCTTAGTTATGGCATGGAAGCGTATTACCTATTGAGCTGGAAGTTCAGTCGGCGAGCTAGGATCATCCGGGGAAAAGCCAGATTCAGCGAAGGCAGATTGGCCTTAAGGAATTATCATTTGCCAACTCTTGGCATGATGAAAAAGCGGACTACGAGCAATCCACCAAACTCAAAGTGTACAAAGTAAGAGAAGAATGGGCCCGGCATTTCAATAAAAAGGCCCAAAGACCGTAAACTGGAAGAGGGTTGTTTGGTACCCTAAAGGGAAAATTAGACAAGCCAATCATAGACCCACGTGGGGAAGTTTCGTTCCTCATTGGGCTGGACCCTATGTGTTGAAGAAGATACTATCTTGGCGGAGCCGTCTCTTGACTGATTTGGATGGTTTGGAATTCACAAAATTCCATGTGTAATTTGGATCAGTTAAAAAGATATTTTGTGTAATTGTAATCATTTGCATAATGTAAAAAGAGCTACATTTGACCTGATTCTCCTCGAAAAAAAGAAATTATATATCGGAGATATGTAGGCAGCCTTCATTGGGCGCGGTCTAAACAAAAATCATTTCATAATTTCATTCTTCTTTGCCAAATAAAAAAGAAAAAAAAAGAAAAAAAAGGAAAGAAAAAACCCGCTAAGTCGAAAACCCGAAAGGGCGGCTTAGGCAAAAGTAGGGGCCCGCTAAGCTAAAAACCCAAAAAGGGCGGCTTAGGCAAAAACCCGAAAAGGGCAACTTAGGCGAAAATGGGTAGCTCGCTAAGTTAAAACCCGAAAGGGCGGCTTAGGCAAAACTTAGAGCTTAAAAAAAAAATAAATAAAGTTGGAAAATGCTTGGAAAGCTTGAAAGACAAATGACATTCATAATGCAAGCAAGCAGTTCAAATCAAGCAGAAAGCAAAAGAGTCCAATAAATAATAAAGTCTAAACCAAAGTGTCAAGTAAAAAGCCAAAAAGGCAAAACACACATCCAAAAAAAAAACCAAAGTCCAAAGTCCCAACAAAAGTCAAAAAAAAGAGCAATAAAGTCCTAAAGCCTATAAAAGTCTAGGTGTCCCGTCGCCTCCGTGGGGCAACATCCTTCGAGTCATCCCTAGCTGTTGAACTCTGTCCCGAGCCAACACAATCTCCTCACCAGTCCCAATCTCATCAGCCTGAACCCATCCTTCAAGTGCACTCAGCAGGGCAATCCTCCTCGGTCTCTCAATTGGCCAGACAGTGGCAATGAACCAGGCTCGATACTCAGGAGAAGTCTGAATACTGGTAGGATTAGGTAAGGGCCTAACCATACGGTGATCTCTAATCCAAGCCTTAAGGACAGCTCGGGTAACACCCGGGGTAATGGCTGAATCGGCAGGAAAGTCGTCCGTAATCGGAACAGTCTGGTCTGATCTATCCCCATCTGTCTCAAGACGCGCGAAGCGCAGTACCAAGTACAATGTGTGAAGCCTAGGAGGTAAACCCGAGTATGACGAAAGCTAACCTGGATAAAACGGTTGATGTTGTACCAGGATATGAACCACAGTATCTCATTCGGACCCAATTCAATCAGCCCATGTCTCAGTAGAAGGGTGGGAGAGCAAGATTTTCCGCATGCGATATTGAGAAGGATTGTAAGGAAGGGAGGTTGGAGCAGCCACTACTTGAAAGTGATCCCTCAACCAAACCTGAATAATGGATCTTTTCCGTTATAAGAAAAAAAGAAGAGGAAGAAGAGGAATGAGGTAGGATAATAGAAAAATACCTGGAGAATGATGGGGGAAACAGTCCAATCGTCAAACCCTAAAGCAGCTCTGTCAAGACTTCTAATGGTCTCAGCCAGCACAATACCGCCTTCTGCCAGCACAATGCCACCTATGCAACCCATATCCTCCATTTGCCGAACCATGGGACAAAGTCGCAAATCCCGAAGCCTGGATCCTTCTTAAACAAGAAACCAGCCAACAAGCAAAAAACCAAGGCTCGCATTCTCAGCCTCATCCGGTCCCGGTCGTCTGAACGGACCTCTGAAAACTCATCAATCAGGGGCAGCAGAATTGCTTTCTGATCACCAACAATCATAGCCCTAGCTTGAGGTCGGCTGAACACAATCATAGCCTTAGCCTATGGCCGGCTAAACCGAAACAAGTTCTCAAAAGACTTAACATACCCAACTTTCACCTCGTGCCTAACCAAGGGAGCATTGGGATCACACCCTATAATCGCAAAAATTCCTCAAAAAGAGGGCACATTTCCTCCATCATATCCCCAAATCGAAAAACGTGAGCCTCAGGATCCCAAAGCTAATACAGGCTCGCAAAAAGTCCCAGTCAACTACTACGCCCCTAAGAGTGATAACAGGAGAAATTTCGTACCTCCCCAAATTGATCTTTTCAACTTTTTTCAATTGGAAAGAGACTCCTTGGTTCCAGCTATGCATGCTCATGATTGTAAAAGGGGATCATGTTTTCGATATTTATTTATCCTTCGCTGTTTTTTATTAAAAAAAAAAAAAAACAAAAAAATTAAATATAATAAATAAAAAAATAAAGAAAAAAGGAGGGAGAGAGATAACTGACCTAAATAGTTGTTCTTAAGCACAATGTTTGAGAGTCAGAATGAAAAAAAGAAGGGGCTGAAAAGCAGGCCTTTTTATTAAGGAAGTCACATGCGCCTAAGGCGGTGCCCGCCGCCCCTCTTATAAGGCAGGATATGCCGCCCAGGAGGAGCGAGGACCGACACCGCTCCAGCGTGGGCGGACATTGCCCGCCCAGCTAGGTCGGGCAACGCCCGACCCATCGTGGGCACACATGCCCGCCCAGCAGGGCGGGGCACGCCCGCCAACGTGGGCGGGACATGCCCGCCCCAGGTAGGGCGGGCACGGCCCGGCCCAGAGTGGGCGCACCATGCCCGCCCAAGCAGGGCGGGCACGCGCGCCCAGTATGGGCGCACATGCCCGCCCCCGCAGGGCGGGCACGGCGCGCCCAAAAAGTATGGCTACGCACAATGCACGCCCAAAGCAGGGACGGGCACGCGCGCCAGTATGGGGCGCACACGCCACGTCCCAGCAAGGCAGCATTTTTTAAAAAAAAAAAAAAAAAAAAAAAAAAAAAAAGAAAAGAAAAAAAAATAATAGGATATAAAATAAAAAAAATAATAACTTTTCCTCTCTCTCTTTCAAAAAAAAAAGAAACAAAGTTGTATCTTTTTTTTTTTTTTTTTTTTTTTTTTTTTTCCTTTCTGCTCAAATTCTCAACATACCATCATTGTCAAAGTATTAATTCAAGTGCAAGAAAGGTACAAATAAGTTGAGTACAGAAATACAGGTCAAGATTCAAATTACAGGAAAATAAGACGAGGGAAAGAAAGTTAAAGGAAAGAGCAGAAGAAATCTAGCTAACTCATCAGCGGCGAAGACCTCCTCTTCGCCTGCTGGTCGTCAAAGCCTTGCAGTGTCCAAGCTGACGTTAGTTCCTCCGTGCACTTCCAAGGATGTAGCTCTCCATCATCTGACGGGATTCAAAGCCCGTCGAACCTGGAAATCAGACACAAAAATACAAGTCAGATGTTACAAATCTCTTATGAATCTTCCTTTTTTTTATGAGAAGATTTACAGTCAATACCTATTAAATGTCATCAGGAGAAGAGAGGTGACCAGGCGATTCACACGGTCCAGGGATACCTCCCTAAGAGACGAAGTACCCTCAGGAGTGTAATAGGAAATGCTGTATGGA